CCCTCTGTACGAGCCCCCAATAAAATGATCTAAAAAAACCCACAAAAAAACTAACCATCTGAATTACTTCCTAATTGGCCCTTTATAGAAAGAGCATGCTAACCCCTGGTTCAAAGGATTAAAAATATGATTTTTTTTAAAAATTCAGAATGTATAAAAAGATTTATAGCACATATGTTGAAATCTAGGTTATTCCCCTTAAGTGTGAATTCTCTGGTGCTGCTCAGATAGAAACAGCAAACAGGAATGTTCTCCCACAGTTCATGGGTGGGAAGGCTCTGGGGACAGGTCTAGCTAGGCCCCTTGTCCCTGTCTACATCTGTGGGCCCAGCATTTCTTGGACAGGTATCTCCAGGTGTCTTGACAGCAATCTTTGCCTGTGTCTGGGAAAGTGTTTCCCAGAGAGGGGAATACCACCCCTGGTGGGCACTAGCATGATCTGGGGGGCTCCAAAAGCAACACCGTGTCATGGATGATAGGTATGGTACAAAGGTTTTTATTTGTGCGGAACAATTTTTTTAGAAAAAACTCCTACCGGGATAGTGTTTGAAGAGTAAAATGAACTGCTCGTTATCACAGAATGTTCTTCGGATACCACTGGCAAATGTGGTGTATCCCAAGCTCATTTCTGAGGATACCCCAAACCCGGAATAGGAACAGGATGAAGGCAGCCCAGAGCTAGTGAAGAGACAGGTGGCAGAAGAATCTATTATATTCCCACGTCTCCAGCAAGTGGGTTTAAGAATGGTTTTCTGATGTCTGGGTGTTTCCACCCTCAAATCCTCCAGCAAGCCAAAGCTGCACCCAGCCTCAGTGTGGCAGGGCAGGGCACACACTGGCATTTGGCATTTGGGTGCAGGGTCCTTCTGTCTTGAAATGTGGAGAGCAGTGGAGTGAAGGGACATGGGGCAGGGGGAAGGCATGCTTTGCCTTGGAAGGTTCTAGAAGGTAGGGTCTGACATGAGGTAGGCAGGGAAGTCTTGAAGCTGGATCTTGTAGGGAGACCAGGAGGAGTCTTACCCAAGGACCTTCCCTCGGAAGAGGGAAGACATCCTATTGTTATTAAGTTGGCTCCGACTCAACAGGGACCCCAATGCACAACAGACCCCACAGAATGAAAACACTGCCCTGTCCCTCTTGCTGTGTGGTGCCCATTGTTGCAGACATGGTGTCCACTCTTCTTTCCAAGAGTCTTGGTCTTTCTGCTGACCCTCTACTTGACTAAGCATGATGTCCTTCTCCAGGGACTCATCTTCCCCTGCAGTTAGGCTGAAAAACTCACCTGACGCCCAACAGAGCTGTGTGTTCAGACTGCAAGAGCACTTCAAGGTCAGCTGATGAAACTGCCACACAGACAGAACTGGCTTGCCCAGGGCCCATGCTGGGGGCAGTAAGGCCACTAACAGGTGCTCCTGAGCTCTCCAAATACCAGCTTCCTCTCCATGTGTGCCAGGGGCCAGCCCAGATGGTGACCCTGACACAGCTGCTCTAACCAGACCCTGCCCAAAGACCCTGTCCACTCCCTGATGAACACCCAGGCCTAGAAACGGGGGCGTTTGATACCCTGGTATCCCCAACCCGTTACCTTGGGTCCTGCCCAAAATGCCAGCCAACGTTCAGCAAGAATCTTGGTGACACTGGCATCGGATGAGTTTGCTCAAACAGGGCAAGGCCTCCTCTCAGGTATGCACTTCACAGGCCCTGGCGCAGGCGCACAAGCCAAGTCTATCCGTGCCAATGCCTGCTGGCGGGCACAGGCCTCAAGGTGTCCACAGGGTTTCAGCTTGGAAATAGACTTCCAAAGAGGTTCCAGGATTTGCTTAAGACCACCAGGCAAAGGGAGTGCTTTCCAGAATCTACATGACATGTCCCTGAGTTGGAGGAGGTGGCCAGCCAACGGATGCAGGTCCTTGACCACAGGGTCCTCCCATCTGGCTCATTATCAACTGTTCAAGACCTTAAGCAGGGGGCCTCACAACCTGCTGGGTACCCATGATGTGGGCAGAGGAAGGCTGGCCATTCCATCCGGTGGAGTTGGCCACCTTTGATAATATATGTAGTAAAAAACCCAAACTCACTGCCTAGAAGTCGATGACAACTCACAGCGACCCATAGGACAAGGTAAACTGCCCCTGTGGGTTTCTGAGACTGTCACTCTTTAAGAGTAGAAAGCCTGTCTTGCCTGATAAATAAGCCAACCTTGTGAAAATAAATCTTTGCAAGTTCAAGAAACGCTCGAAAATCCATAGGTAAAACCAACGCACAAAAATGACGGTGGGATGAATAAATGAACCCCAACCCAAACTCACTGCCATCGAGTTCACTCTAACTCAGAGCACACCTGCTCCCGGGGGTTCCAATGGTGAAAACCCTCCTGGGAGCCGAAATGGGGCTTTCTCCCCATTTCTCTCGTGTAGCAGCTGGTGGGTTTGAACTGCTGACCTTGTACTTAACGGCCCAACATGTAACCCACAATATCACCAAACGAGAAAAAGCCCATGCGACTTTTGTTATCCTTTGACTGTCCAAGATAATAACAACTAAACCAGCAGTACAAATAAAGCATCTAAAAAAAAAAAATCAAACTCGCTGCCATTGAATCAATTCCGACTCACAGTGACTCCATAGGACTGAGTAGAGCTGATGGAAGGACGCGCCCTAGCAGGCTTGCCAGAATGGACATGTGCACATACTCAAGAGGGGGCCATCTTGAGCATGCAATTGTGCAGCTATTCACACTGGAAAACTCCATCCACGCAGATCACAGACAATAGCACCTTCTTTTCCTCTGCCAGCCCTGTCAGAGGCGGAAAAACGGACCAACAGAAAACCAGGCCGCTCAAAGACCCAGAGCAAAAAAGTGTGGAATGGATGCCCAAAGCCAATCTGTAAGCAACTGGACATCCCCTTACAGTTAGGGTGCAGTATAGCACCGATGAAACATACACCTATCCTCTAGTTCTTTAATGCTTCCTCACCCCCACTATCATTACCCTAATTCTACATTACAAATCTGGCTAGACCAAAGCATGTCCATGGTTACAGTTAAGAGCTGGAAATACAGGGCATACAGGACAGATAAACTCCTTAGGACCAATATTGACAGTAGCTATACCAGGAGGGGAAGGGGAGGTGGGGGGAGAAAAGGGGAACTGATCACAATGACCTATTATAACCCTCTCCCAGGGGGATGGACAACAGACAAGGGGGTAAAGGGAGACATCAGACAGTGCAAGACATGAAAAAAATAATAATTTATAAATTACCAAGGGTTCATGAGGGAGGGGGAGGGTACAAAAAAATGAGGAGCTGATACCAAGGGCTCAAGTAGAAAGAAAATGTTTTGAAAATGATGATAGCAACATATATACAAATGTGCTTGAGATGATGTATGGATTGTGATAAGAATTGTACGAGTCCCCAATAAAATGATTTTAAAAGAAGAAAAAACCATGCCACTAAGTCCCATCCACAATGGCTAATTATCGCCATAATTACATTTGCTACTTTACTTGTCATGTACCATTAAAAGGTAACAAGGTCATTGCCAAAGACGTGTGGATAATGAGAGCATCTATAGGTTACCGGGAAATCCATTGGTGCTGGTACCCATCACTGTGGAGGAGGAGCCAGAGCTAATCAGAGGGGGGAGATGAAGAGGTGAGAGGCAGGCAGGCCCAGGGAATAAACTCCATGACTGATGGGAGTTTGAGATTGCAGACGGGGGCATGAAACGAGAGGTGAACGAGAACAAGCAGGGAGGAACCCCGTTGGAGCAGAAAGGCAGGATACCACGTGTACTGGGAGTCTGGAAGGTTCCAAGAATGCAAAACTGGTTGGGTTTGGAAAACCATGGTGTGGAGGCTGTTTTCCAAACCACCTGTGTTTCTCCCAAGTCCTTTATTCCAGGTCGGGGGGTTGGGGGGGTGGGGATCGGGTATGAACATATACAACTAGCGATGACAGACACGGGCTTGGATGCCTTCCATTAAGTGTTCTGGGCTGGCAGCTCTTGATTCAGGCCAGAGCCTCTCCCGGAGCCCCTGGTCTATGTGCGTGAGTCAAATCTGCTGCCACCCCAAATGTCTGCCCATGGCCATTTCTAACTCCTACCTGGCAGATGCCCCACCTTGCTAACCTGGGGTTCTGAGGACAAAGGCAGCTGGGCGTTGGTCTTTTTCCATTGAGATACAGATACCACCTCATCCAAACAGCCATTGTACTGACCCAACACAGGATGGAACCATTTTTGCCATCTTGAAAACGATGATGGATTCTGGAGGATAAAGGAGCCATGTGTACACTAATAACTCGGGGAGACCCAGAAAAAAGTAGACAATAAAAAAATAGGTTGGGAAGGTCTTAGGTAACACAAGGTAGGAAATGCGCAGGAACAGGCAAAGACAAGTGGTCAGATCTTCGACGCAATTTCCCATCCACAGACAGAACTAAAGACCCAAGTAGTCCCTTGCTGATGTGGCCCAAGCAAACGTTCATCTACAACATGCACAAGGACCTGCCCATGACTTTGGGCACATGCGGGCGCGCACATACACACATCAACCACAACGGATGGAATAGGCACAACTCTTTTCAGAAAGATTAACTGTAGGGTTGGCAAGCTGGGTGCTGGGTGGTTCTATCTGCCAGTACAGTTTCTCCCCCGAGGGTCATCATGGCCCCCCACACAAGCAAGCAGCTGGAAGCTCAGTTCACATTTTTTAATAACATGGCACAGTTTACATCACACAAGGAGTGTCCGCCGATGAAAACATGCTGAGATTCAGTCGCTGTACTTTTTTTTTTTCTCACATAGGATCTAGAAAGGACTTTATTACATACAGGATCAACAGCAAAAAGGTCCGTATAGAACAATCTCTTTACAATACTGAAAGCTACTACTACAGTTCCAGTGTACATATTCCTTGGATTTTTTGTTTTTATTTTAAAGTTGTTGTCTTAAAAAAAAAAAAAGGAAAGGAAAAAAACACCCAAAACAACCCACCCCGCCAAAACAAAACAAAACAAAAAACAAAAAGAAAAAAAAGCCCAAACAAAACAAAAACCAAAAAACACTGCACAACATCTGGAGTTCACAAAATCTGAAGCTCACAACTAAACCTTCAGTTTACTACTAAAATAGAATCTCTCTGCTTATTAGAAACAATGGTTGGTAGTTCACTTTTTTTTTTGTTGTTGCAAAAAACAGGGTAACGACGTCAGATATTACTTTTAGTATACTAGAAGATCCGATGGAACTAGTTTTTATTTCATACATATATTTTACAGTCCAGTAGACAAGATATAGTGTATTTCTCTGCTAGTAAAGTCATATTCTCTCCAAATATGTAGACAATAGGCTGAACGTGATTATAAAAGGTGATGAAGAGACACTAAGATGGAGGTGAACTTAAAAACACCAGCACACACTAGACCTTTCTCTGCCACCTTTCTTTCCCCCCCAACCCCCTCCAGAAATCTCAAGGACTACATGAGGTTTTGATCTGTTCCGGTTTATCCTTTTTAAAAAAAATTTCCTTTTTCCCCACCAACTGGGAATTCAAGTCACAGTGGGAGGCTGTACCTTAAACTACCGGCTCTTGGGTACAGTGGAAACATATCCATCATCTGAGAAACGTGAACTTTCCTTCAGGATCAGCTGGCATGTAGCTGACCGGCATTACTGAACGAGTAAGTGTGTACAGATATGAGCTAGGATGTGTTGACAAAGGCATGTTCCTGCAATGAGGTGTGTGATCCATGAGGGATGGGGGCTCTGACATCTGTCAGCCAGACACTGCGGCTGACACCTACGCTCTGATTTTGGCATCGGGCAAATCCCAGTTTCCCTGGTCTGACTGTTCCTGTCCTCTGACCTTTGTGGGTGGGGTTTGCACCTGTCTTGCCCCTCCCCTGCGCCTATGGGTACTCACAGGCGGCATCTTCGAATGCCAAGTTCCAGCCCGGGCCCCACTCTCCGATGGTTCTCCATATGGGTAAAGCAAGCAAGGAAAACAAGAGTCATATCACGGTTAAGCGCTTGTTCAGGGAAAATATGACCTTAAGTATGTGGAAAATGGATCAGAAAAGGCTCCTTTGAGTTAGGCGGGCTTTGGTGAAAAGCCCTAAGATTCATTGCATAGTTGAAGGGTTTAGCTGTCTTCTCACAAGATACAGGAACGTGGCCTCCCCTGGGCCGACCTCGCTCCTTGCTGCGATCATGTTTGCAAATAGCACATTTTAAAGAAGTATTAATGTATTATGTTACTTAATCTTTATCTATTTACATCTGTACAAAGTAAAGCTTTCATCTTACCCTTTTGCATATATGAACCATTAGCCCAAGAAGCAATCATTTTTTTCCTTTCTCTCTCCATTTTTTTCTTTTTTTACAGAACTATGTACAGGTCTTGCCTTCTCATCGGAAACCGCTTTGCACGGTGGGTTGTGAACTCCCCTCCCCCACCCCACCCCCACCCATCATTCAATGGGCGTGTGTTTCGTCCTCACTGTTGGGGTGCGGATCTGAAATTTCACACGAGGGGAGGAGGGAAAAAGAAAGCTGAAACCCCAAAAACCCAAAAAGACATTAAAAACGGATGACTTGGCTAAAAGATCTGAAAAATTTCAACAGAGAATATACAAAAAAAAAAAAAAAAAAGTTTCAAAATCTGCACTGGAGCCTGTACATGTCTGTCTGTGTTTACACGGGGGACAGCCGGGAAGGCCCCGAAGGTCGAAGGCTCGGGAGTCCTCTCGCTGGTTTTGGCCGGGAGTCTTGTGGGGTGGCTTTGGAGGGGTAGGGTGGGGGTGGTGTCTCCGTCCTCTCATCGTGCCTCGATGTCCTTCAGGGTGTGGGATGGCGGCCTCTCCCTCATCTCTGCGGACAAAGGGGTGGTCCTTCGGGGGGAGACCGGGCGGCCCCCCAGCGTGGAGATGAGCGGGGGCGGGGCGCTGAGCGCGGCTGTGGGCGGGGTCTTGTTGAGCAGTCCGTTCTGGTGGCCCGCGGTGGGGCTGATGCGGGGGTAGTGCACGTTGGGGAGCCCTGGGGTGATGAGACCCGGGTGGGGCAGGTGTCCGTCGAGGGAGGCGGGGTGGACCGAGTGCAGCCGCGGGGGCTCGTAGTCCTCCCGCAGCACGTGCAGGCGCTCGCGCTCGTCCAGGTGGGCGCTGCGCTCGTGCTCGCGCCGCGGGTCCAGGGTCAGAGGGTGGTGGTGGTGATGGTGGTGCTCCCGGTCCCGGAAGGAGCGCTCGGCCTCGTACAGCCGCGGCGTCGAGAGGCGGTGCAGGGGATCGCTCCGCAGCAGGAAGTCCCTGCCCAGGGGGTCTCGGCGGTGCATGTCCAGTTCTCGGTAGGGGTCCCTCAGGGGGTCCCGGATGGGGTCCCAGTGGAAAGACGGGTATGGGAAGCGCTCCCCGCCCGGGATGGGGCTGATGCCCATGAAAGGCGTCATCATTCGAGTCCTGTCCAGGG